AATGCTTACATTTATGCTTCAAAGAGCCAATAAAGCACCAAAATAACCATAGTAATAGTAGTCATAGTTTTAATATTCTCCTGTGAGACAAAATCAAGATGACATTTAGTTTGAATGAATGAATAAAATGATTAAAATTGCTAGATTTAATACAACATTTAACACTTTCTCAATTTTAATCTATTGTGGTTTTTATAAAGACTAAAAACATGTAATTATTGCTATTCCATTTTCTGACTCTAGGGGCTTCCCACCAACTTTCGCTTGCTCTAAATTAATATGGATATTTGTAAATATATTTTGTGGAAGTGCCATGTCCTTTTAATTGGAATATGACTGCTCACATTTTCTAAACTTTGAAAAGTTGTTGAAGTCAAGATAGGTTATGCATCATGTCTATCCAGCAAATTAGATTTATCAGAAATTATTCCTTTCAATATTCAGATATAGATTTTGCTTTAGAAATCGCACAAGAGTGAGCTTGTTGTACTCATTATATCTTGGGCAATCACCCACCACAGAGTCATCCTTTTAATGTTAAAATACTGAGGTCATTTCAAATGAGCCTACATTCTCTGTTTTGTTACCAGTACTGGGGCTTGAACTCAGAGCTTTGAACACTGACTTAGCTTTTTCATTCAAGTCTGGTATTCTACCATTTGAGCTATACCCCTACTTGTGCCTGCTGTTTTGTATTTCTACTTTTATGGTTTTATGTTTAAAACTTTATTAAGTCAGTTTATGGATACTACCTTTTCAATATTTAAATTATAAATAATAGTTGGATTACAAATAAATTATAAATATTCTTTTAGTACCCCTGGTGAAACTTTGATAAGAAATCATTTATAAAAGAATAAATAATTGTCATAACTCCATTTGCACTTCTGGAAGGAAATGACTTACATTAAATATCTGTCCATCTATCTATCTATCTAGTATCTATCAATCATCTATTTATCCACCCAAGACCTCACCTCTGCTTGGCAACTGATCTACAACTGAACCACAACCCTACTCCAAATATCTTTGAAACACTAAGATGTGAAATTTGGGTGACCATCCTGTAAAAATCTCGAACTATGGATAATATAATCCATCGTATGTTGTAAGGTTTTCGTATACATCTCAATTCTTTCTTCACTAATCCTAGCCCAATAAATCTAGTGGTAGACAAATAAATACTCAACACAGCTGTCTGAAGTTGATAAAGAACTAAATAGCTGACTTTATTTTTATTCTCAGATAATACACGAGACATGAAGGCTCAAAAGATTTGAGTAAGGATGCAGGGGGTTGCAGCTCAGTGGTTAAGGATGAACTTGGCACAAGAGAGATTGAGGTTTAAGCCCCAGCCCTACAAAGGGGAAAAACGTGATTTGCCAAATGACATGCTCCAGAGTCAGGATTCAATCATATTTTCAACTGTCCAATCAGATAACTTTGCATTTCCCCAGCTATCTTGCCTAGTAGGAGTTGGCGTACAGATCTTAGAGAAAGTAAGTCCTAAAATTATCTAAAAAAATCAAGGTTTCCATTATCATAGGAAACTAAATGTTAAATCATCTGTGGGTTTATTTTTGCACATGTTTAGACTGAAAAGGATGGATGGTTGCCTGTGTGGATGCTTCCAACTCTAGAAAATTAGGTCACGTTGTTCAGGGACTTACCTACCATTTTGAAATCAGAAAATAGCTCTGAGTCATTCTGAGTGCTTTTCCTCCAGGGTCTGTATTAATGATTTCCACTCCCACTTTCTAAAGTTGACAGCCTGCTCATACTCTCTTGCCCATCCTAAAGGAGCGAGATAGGTATTTTAAACTAACTTCACTGATAACTTTATTCATTCCTAACACCTAAGGCAAGTTTGGGAAAGAAAAAGAGGCAAGAAGCCAAGAGCTCACCTAACGATTTTCCCTTGTACATGTAGCTATCCATCCGTTACTGTATTCACTCTCTCCTCTAGTCATAAGCATCTCTGGAAGAGACCCTTTCCTTTCTTTTAGTCTTTTTTTTTCTTTTCTTTCTCTTTCACAAATTCAACTAGAATTTGTAGCTAGTTATCACTAGGAAATGCTCATTGATCTATCGCTTCTTCCCCTAAGTTTATAATTCTCAAGAATCCAGTTGCTATTTATACCATTCATAAATATTAAATGTCTTCTACATCTTTGGCACTAGGCTGAACATAGTGATGTTTATAAAATAAACAGACGGTGTGTATTATTGCCTCCAAAAAGGAGCTGGGCAAAGTATGTACCCAACAACTGTAGTGTGCCGAGAGTAACAGCTATGGGCTTAGGTTACCAATATAGGCTAGGACAGTTGAGAGAGGGAACTCCACCACACTTGCATGACATTTTTCCTGGCAAAGTTTCACTTGCAGTGAGTCTTAAATAACAAATGGGACTGGGGTATGTAATGGTAGGTAGTAGGGACACTAAGAAGGTGTTATAGATTAGATTCTGACCTGCAGACTTTCAACAGATCTTGTATACATCAAACTCTAGCTCTATCCATTGGGTCATGGCTAGATTTTAAGGTCAGGAAGGATCAATTTCTTCATCCATCAAGTAGAAATTTTAAAAAATTTTTTTTTATTGTGAGAATACCATACAGAGGAGTTACAATTACATGAGCAAGATAACGAGTACATTTCTTATCAAGCATTGTTGCCTCCTCTTTGTTTCCCCTTCCCATCCTTTCCCATACTCCCCCCACTTCCCCCACCCGATCCTTTCCCCCCCACCAAAGTTGTAAAGTTCGTTTTTTGACATAACGACTTGTACATCTGATTGTTGCAATGGGTCCACCTGTATCCCTAGTTAAACGGAAGTAGAATTTTTTTAATAAGGAGTCAAGACCAAAACTATGAAAATAAAAAGAAATCACATAGCACATGATAGACGCTGAGTGAAGGACGGGGGGTTCCTAATGAGTAGGTGTAGAAACCCACGGGAGGCATAGTGGTCTCTGCTAGCTATGACTAACCTTCTTCCCAAATCTGCAGTACTTATGTAGTGTGTCCCCTCAAATTCAACAGGACTTAAATGAAAAACATACTAGCTGTCCTCCAAAATCAGCCCCTCTTATGCTAATCGGTAATATCTTATAACCTCTAACTGCAAGAATCACTGCTCCCTAAGTGTGGTAGACATATTGATTTAGCATGCTTTTACATATTTTATGTGTTTTCCGTATTAAGTCCACTGCCATTTCTAACACTCTGCAACCTACATTTGTCATCTTCGTCTAACTACACTCTTTCAAAAATATAGTTGATGTAGATAAAAATGTTACATATGTAGAAAGGCAAGAAATATGTATATATATAATTCTTGTGTCTGTAATGTACAACAGCCATTAATTCTTTTTTGTGCATTGAATATAATGACTGTACCTACCCTCCCTCCTCCCATTCATCTGCCACCCCTATCCTCCTTCCCATTAATTGTTTAGGAGTCTCTTTATAGACACAAATAATATAGGAAAAGAAAATATATGTCTCTCCTCCACAATGAAATTGCATGCCTATATTTCAATGTTTCAAAATACCTACGAATAAAGTCATGATACCAATGAATTGACTTTATCTCTTTTATGTACTGACAGAATCCTTCCTTCACCAGACTCTACCGAGTCTCCTTTGAGGCCTCTTCTTGACAAAGCTTAATTTTAATAAAGAAGCCCACTAAATCATTAAAAAACAACTCATCCTTCTGTAACTATCTTATCTAGTTTTCCATCTCTTACCCTTAATATCTAAGTCTGTGGAATGCTTTTATCAAGAACACTGATAAACTAGTTTAGGAAGAATTTCTCTGTCCTCGGTAAGTAATCAAATCTTCTTAATCATTTTCCTTCCATGTCCCCCATCTCTGCTTATCTACTCTTAAGTTGCCAGCTGTATTTGCTATAGAGTTCTGTCTCTCATCTCTGCATGATTCCATTGCAATAGTCTTGAATAAAGTCTCCCTTACTACTTTAAATAAGTGTCAGACATTTCTTTGTATTTCAATTAGTGTTTTGGAAGGTAGACTCCAATATATTATTCCAAAATAATGTTTCTTGCACTATGGAGGTAGGGTGCTCAAATTACAGTCATTCCATTTTTTCACATCTATGTATTCTCATTACCTTAGTTGTTTGAGAAGTCAGGAACCTTTACAAAGAGGCCCTTTTAAAATTTTGCTTGCAAGCTTTGGATTTACATTTCTATCAAAACTACTGAACAAAAGTGGTCTGGACCAATTTGAGAACACATTCTAATGTCTTTGTTTCCCTCTTCATAAAACTTACTACATTTTCCTATCATGAGTGAGGTAAGGAAACCAGTAGCAAGCATATGGGGAAAACATATAGCTATCTTAAAAAACACAAAGGAGGAGGCAACAATCCTTGATAAGAAATGTACTCATTACCTTGTTCATGTGATTGTAACCCCTCTGTACAGTATTTTCACAATAAAAACTTATTTAAAAAAAGAAAAAATACAGCTATTCTTTTTCATCAAATTATGTTTATTAATTAGTTGGATGTTATTAATTACAAACATCTAGTCCATGTTCACACAATCAAGAGTATGCACTGATAAAAACAAAGGAGGAGGCTGCAATGCTTGGTAAGAAATGCACACATTATCCTGCCCATGTAACTGTAACTCCTCTGTACAGTATGTTCACAAATAAAATTAAATTAAATTAAAAAAAAAAAAAAAAGAGTATGCACTGATAAAGACATGTACTGTTTAAGAGTCACTATTGATATACAAGTAACTGATGTGGTTGGGGCATAAGTGCATGAGACAAGTAACAGAGATATGGTTCCTCAGCACCACATAAGCAGAAAAACCCAGAAGTGATACTGTGGCTCAAATGGTAGAGCACTTGCCTTGAGCTAAAGAGCGGAGAGACAGTGCCTAATCCCAGAGTTAAGGCCCCATGACTGACAAAAAAATCACATTAAAAAGGTGGCATCTATTTCAAGAACCAAATGTCATAATGGAAGAGGGAAGAATAGTTGGCATAAAGTATTTAGTTGCATCCTAAATTTAGTTTCTATAAACTTAAAGCATTGTCAGATAGCTGAACTTGTGAACAGACCTATCAGCTACTGTCCTTTACTGATAGCCTCAGTTATATTCTATCACATTTGACACTTGTAGAAAACCATAATGTGAGTTTTGTTTTACATGTGTGTGTGTGTGTGTGTGTGTGTGTGTGTGTGTGTGTGTATTTTTTTTCTGGATGTTTATAATATTATTCACTGAAAATACTGCCCAATAGTTTTTCGAAAGGAAAAAAAATGATATGCAAAGCTAACATGTTCTTCAAATATTTTTTACCATGACTAACAGTCAATCATTATTTGATATAATCACTACTTTTTCAAGTCATGGAATGTATTTCTTGTCTTTCATGATTTTTCCCCATTAATAGAATATCGTTTCTCATTAGGATGGCCTTGTAGGCTGCATTTGAGAGATATCTTATATTCTGAATTTATTTTCAACATTCTATCTTTCTTTTAATTCTTAAGATCTTTTTCAGCAAATGACCTAAGACATGAAGTAGATTAAAAATTCAGCATGTTTATAGGAAAACCAGAATTGAATTTGACATTAGTACCTATTTGAGTGACAAAACATTTGTTGAAACATCCTATGTTGGTACATAATTGTCAAAAATAGATTTCTTTATTATAAACCCTTTCTTACCATTATGAACACATACCCATAAAATGAACAATTATTACCAATTTTTTAATAGGAATTGTTTCAGTCTTTCCTAAAACTCAAAATTCATTAGCAGGAAATGCATAAAGATCAGAATCATCTGATCCACAAGGATTTCATCCATGAAAAAATAAATACAATGTAGAAATAAATAGCTTTGTAGTAAAATAGAAAGTTTTTTTTTGCCCTTTGTGAAATAAATACACAGTTTGACTTCAGTTCGTGTGGTTCTTTCCTGGGATCTGATAAGAGCTGTTTTTCGCCGCAAGAAAGGTGTTCTTCAAAAGCATGGCCACTGTCATGGGCCCCACGCCTCCTGGGACAGGAGTGATGAGGCCAGCTTTCTTCTTCACAGCTAAAAGAGGAAACAGAACATAGTCTTCATGTCTAAGTGTATCAGAAACCTTCACATTATAAGAATGCTATAAATATAGGGGGTTTCTGTTTGTTTGTTTTATTTTATTTTATTTTATTTTTTCAGTCATGGGGCCTGAACTCTGGGCTTGCACGCTGTCTCTGAGCTCTTCAGCTCCAGGCGAGCGCTCTACCACTTGAGTCACAATGCCACTGCTGGTTTTCTGGTGGTTAATTGGACATAAGAGTCCAGGGCTGGCTTTGAACCATGATCTTCAGATCTCAGCCTCCTGAACAGGTACCTGCCTTAGGTTTTTTTTTTTTCACATTGTGCACATAACTATCACAATCTTTGATCATTTTCCATCTTTTGTTTTTATGACATATTTTAATATTATTTAAGTAGTTGGACAAAGGTAGTTTCCATTCAACACGTCACCCCTTCCCTCACCCCGTCCCCATCTATCCTGATGTCATCTATCTCCTCAAGTGACACAGTACCTTTTTCACCTATGTATTTGGATATTATGACTGTATTTGTCCACTCTTCCTATTCTTTTTTTTAGAATGAAGTAAACACACATACATACTCCCTCCGACAAACGTCTCTGTATATGATATCCAAAGCAGACAGGATCAAGATTTTTCTTTCCATCTCCTTGTCCCTGCAAGCTTTACCAGATGAAAATCTATAGCCCATGTTTGACCCAATTTACCTGATCTAGTCACTTTACTTTTTAAAGACACAATAGTCTCAAAAGGGATACAGACAATTCAGCATACTCTCTTCAAGAAATTGAGTAATCCATCAGAAAGAATGACATTTCCCCATTTGTTAGGAAATGGAAAGGCTTGGAAAAAATTATATTAAGTGAAGTAAGCCAGGCCCAAAGAAACATGGGTCCCATGGTTTCCCTTATTTGCAATATCTAGTATAGGTATGAGTCAAGCGGAAAAAGTCAGATAATGTGATGTTAGGAAAACGAACCCTTAAATATGTATTTTAATGTTTTTGTTTCTTTCATGCATGTGTTTCTAAAGCATTTATAAGATTATTTCTTTGTTGCTTTGTATGTCCCTCCCCCACAGTGTAACCCCCGCTTTCACTATATTTGATGTCAGTATAACATGTGGAGGAGACGGGGACAAACAAGTCGTTTAAGGATTCAGGTGGACCTGTTGCAACAATGAGAAGTACAAAATGTTATGTCAAAACCAGCTTTACAATGTCGGTGTGGGGGGGGGGGTATGATTGGGTGGGGGGGAGGGGGGAGGCCGGGAAGGGAGGTGAAGGGTAAACAAAGGAGGAGGCTGCAATGCTTGGTAAGAAATGTATGCATTATCCTGCCCATGTAATTGTAACCCCTCTGTACAGTATGTTCTCAAATAAAATAAAATAAAATTAAAAAAAAAAAGAAATTGAGTAATTCCTGTTACAGCAATATTATTGAGGGCACAGATGATGCATTCTAGTACAAGTCCAGTAAAAACCATTAACATACTTGAATTATTGAGCATGCCCACATAGTGCTGGGGAAAGATAGGGAGACTTTTTTTATTCTCTTTTTATTCTCAAAGGAAATGTCATGGTACTCCCAGAAAGGCTGAAGAATGTGTCCACACCCACAATATTAAAGGTGACTGGCTTCATTCATTCATTGACTTGATGGTTCAGTGCTTCATCATGTGAATAAGAGCAGTAAAGTTTTCCCAGATAACTCTTGGTATGAGTCTAGCACAGGCAAGACTTTTTAAATGCACCATCTTACATTATTAATTACAACACTCAGATGTGTTATCTTTTACAGGTTCTCCATGAAACAAAGCCCAGAGATACTTTTCAGATCTCTTAGTATTTTTGTACAACATACATGGTCTTCATAGATGGCCTGTCAGATCTTGTAAAACTTGCTTTTACCTTATTTGAAGTGGAGTAGTATATCAGGATTGTTTAACCCAGAAAAAGCAAATGAATAATATTGTTTTACTAAAATAAGCCAAAAAGCTCAAGCATTTCTTTCTGTGTGTCTCTGTCTGACTCTCTCTCCCTCTCTCTTACATACATACATATATACATACATACATACATACACACATACACACGCATGTGCGTATGTGAGTGGGCACAAGCCAAGTAACATTTATCAGGAATATTCTGATGGCAGGCACTGATGTTTGGATATGTCCCCAAAGTTTCATATGTTTAAAGTATAGCAGCCAAGGAGGCAGTATTGAGCCGTGATGGAAACTTTAACAAGTGAATCCCAGTAGGAGATAATTAAGACTTGAAGAGACTGACTTGAAAGGATTAATGTAGTTCTTGGAAGATCCTAGTTAGTGAGATGGAGTTATTATAAAAGAAGAAGATTCCAAGCTGGGTGCCAGTGGCTCACGCCTGTAATCCTAGATACTTAGGAGGCTGAGATCTGAAGATCGCAGTTCAAAGCCAGCCTGGGCAGAAAAATTCCGTGAGAATTTTTTTTTTTTTTTTTTTTGTGAAAATACTGTACATAGGGGTTTACAATTACAGGGGCAAGATAATGAGTACATTTCTTATCAAGCGTTGTTGCCTCCTCCTTTGTTTCCCCTTCCTATCCCTTCCCATCTCCCCCTCACCCCGTCACCCCCACCTCCCCACCCCGGCGTCAAAGTTGTAAAGTTCATTTTTTGACATAGGTCTTGTACATTTCATTGTTGCAATGGGTCCACCTGTATCCTTAAACAATTTGTATTTTCCCTTCACTCAGAAAACCAGAAGTGGTGCTGTGGCTCAAGTGGTAGAGTGCTAGCCTTGAGTTGAAGAGCTCAGGGACAGTGCCCAGGCCCATAGTTCAAGCCCCATGACTTACAAAAAAAGAAAAAAAACCACATAGAGCTGCCCCATGACCCAGCAATCCCACTTTTGGGCATTTGCCCAAATGATCACAAACAAGACCATACTAAAGCTACCAGCACTACTATGTTTATTGTAGCATTTCACCATAGCTAAGAGATGGAACCAACCCAGATGCCCCTCAGTAGATGAATGAATCAAGAAAATGTGATATATATATATATATATATATATATATATATTCACAATGGAATTCTATGCCTCCATCAGAAAGTATGACATTGCCCCATTTGTTAGGAAATGGAAAGACTTGGAAAAAATTATATTAAGTGAAGTAAGCCAGGCCCAAAGAAACATAGGTCTCATGGTTTCCCTTATTTGCAATAACTAGTATGTCTGAGACAAGCAGAAAAGGTCAGATAAGTTGATGTTAGGTGAAATGAACCCCAAGATAAGGACTCAAATGATTTTTCTTTCTTGCTATTGTTTTTAATGTATTTCTAAGATGATTTCTTTGTTGCTTTGTATGTTCCTCCCCCACGGTGTAACCCCTGTTTTCACTGTATTTGATGTTGGTATAACTGGGGGAAGGGAAGGAAAAAAACAAATCGTTTAAATAGGGATACAGGTCGACCCATTGCAACAATGAGATGTACAAGTCATTATGTTGAAAAATGAACTTTACAACTTTGCGGGGGGGGGGGCTGAGATGGGAAGGGTAAACAAAGGAGGAGGCTACAATGCTTGATAAGAAATGTACTCATTACCTTGCCCATGTAATTGTAAACCCTCTGTAAGGTATTTTCACAATTTAAAAAAATATTAATATAAAAAAGAAAAAAAGACCAAGATCCACCTTTCTCTCTGCTTCTGTTCTTACTATATTTTTACTATATTAGTACTTTCACATGTGCTCCACTATTGCAGTTCCCTCAGCAGAGCCAAGCAGAATCGGATGCCATGCTCTTGAATCTCCAGAATAAAAAATAACTAAACCTCTTTTATTTCTAAGTGTCTAGCCTCTGAGATTTTGTTGTAGCAATGGAAAACAGACTAATATAGTATGTTATTTAAAAATTACAAGAATATTGTGATTTGAGAAATATTATTTCAGTTTTCCAAAAGCCATATTTATGTCTCAGCAGATCCTTCTATTACCCATATTACCATCCTCTGAACTCTGCTACAGAAATGTAAGACTGGGAAAATAGCTATAAATTTTTATTCCTTTCTTCCTCTGTGTGAGCTATGACTTTCACTTGGACTACCCTTCCACTTTATCCAATACAAAATGCCTCATTATTCATTAAAACCAAATAAAATTTTACCTGACTATAGATTTTTTTTCAAAAACACAGTCCACAGATATCAAATTAAGAGTTAAATTATCTGTTTCCAATTATTTTTTCAATTTTTTATTATGAAAATACTGTACAGAGGAGTTACAATTACATGGGCAAGATAATGAGTACATTTCTTATCAAGCATTGTTGCCTCCTCCTTGTTTTCCCTTCCCATCCCTTCCCATCTCCCACCCCTTCACCCATCCCCCACCAAAGTTGTAAAGTTCGTTTTTCGACATAACAACTTGTACATCTCATTGTAAATGGGTCCACCTGTATCCCTAGTTAAAGATTTGTTTTTTCCCGTCCCTTCCACAAATTATACCAACAGTGAAAGTAGGGGTTATATCGTGGGGGAGGGACATAGAAAGCAACAAAGTCCAATGATTTTACACCTACATACATTGTAGAACTTGTTGCATGGTCTATTTCCTTAACTAGGTATAAGAATCTAGATGGCAAGAGCAACTCCTTGTGTTTCTTCTTATTATTTTTAAGTTCAGAATTTATCTATACACAGATTAGCCATTCAGTAAATTTTGATGCTAAATAACCCATATTTAAAACCTAAAATCAAATTTCAGAAATGTGTTAGTGCATTTGGACAGACAGAAGCAATATCGATGTACTTCAAGCTAATTTACTGGTAAACTCAAGCTACTCATTTTGCTTGAGATGATAAACTGGATTTTTTGCTTGTCAATAAGCTGGTTTGAAGGCATGAACAATACTTTTCAGAGCCTTTGCATATATCCTGGTAAAGCTTTAAAACCTCAATGGGCTTTTAGAGAAAACTTTCTACTACTGTTGACAGCAACAGTATAT